CCAAGCACGTTCGACTGCTCTGTGATGTTTCAGGTGGGTCAGTGGATTTTTGGGTGAATGAATAAATGGTTGGATGGATGGATGGATGGACGGATGGATGGATGAATGATTGAATGAATGAATAAACCCAGGCAGCATGTACAGGTTCAATGGCGAAGATGGGAGGATGGATCGACAAGTGGAAGCAGTTTTGATGATGATGGAAGCTTTTCATGTAGTTATGATGATGATGGTTGTGATGCTGGTGATGGCAATGATGATGATGATGATTACAGCTTATTATTTGGTGAAGATGATGACACTAACAATTGTGGATGTGATGATGAATGATGATATTGGTGATGATGATGATGATTGTATAGACATTGACATCTAGTTTCCCCCCATGAACTTTGAACTCAGGGGTACGAGGAGAAGATACGGTACGACATCCATGGCCACTCCGGTGAGGGTCCTAAGTTCACTTTCGTCAGATGTGGGGGTAGTGATGGTTGTGGTGGAGGTGGTAATGGTGGTGGGGGTGAAGGGGTCAGCCCTCCGGTCAACAACAAACAAAGATTAGATGTAGTCATGGTCAGTCAGTTGTCCTTGCTCTTCATTTCTATTTGTTGTTGGACATCGTGTAGATGGATGGGATCGTTTTTGATTGGTTGTTCGATGTGCATGTGATGCTGTTTGGCGTTTTGTGATTGGCCGTTCGATTTGCATGCCGTTGTGTGATTGGTTGGTATCTGGATACCGGTTTCTGATTTGTTGTTTGATACACGGATACTATTGATGTTTGATTAGATATTTTCGGTAGTTGCTGTTATTATTGTTTGTTGTTGTTGTGATGCTAATTTTGATGATATCTTAATGTCCCGAACGCACCAACATCTAGATAACAACACTTTCATTCATTCATTCATTCATAAATACATTCAATCAATCAGACAGTTCTTAATACACGCTCGTACGCACACACACACATACAAGCACACACAAGCACACACACACACAAGTAACAACTGATATACACACAGCATACAAACATTTGAAACGTGTGACAGACAAACACCAACGTACGTTGTATGTACAAACACTAATAGGCACAAGCATTTAGGCACATACAAACACATACACACACGTACAAACACATACACACACGTACAAACACATACACACACATACAACCACATACACACACGTACAATCATTTGCACTAATGGACAGTCTTTGTACGCCCACTCGCAATTTTGCTTGAGTGGCGACCACACGCTGGAGGCCACAAAGATGGCCGTCGAAGAAGTGGCGGCCATGAGCGACGTTGATGATCGTTTCGTTATCGTCCTTAGTGATGCTAATTTGGAGAGGTCAGTTACGTGTGTGCGTGCGTGTGTTTGTGTGTGTGTGAGTCGGTGTGTCGATCGTCTGTCTCCCGTACCTTCCCATGCATGTGGTGTGGGGTGAATGATTTTTTTTGTTTGCTTAAATGTGCATGCATTCATCACAATCTACCTGCTATCAGTTTGTCCAACCAATCACAATCCAGATATGGAATCAGTGCCCGGAGATTGGCCAGACTTTTGACCAGTAAGGATAACGTAAATTCGTACGCTATTTTCATTGGTTCTTTGGGAGATCAAGCTGAAAGGTCGCTGGTTTTTTATTTTATTCATCCATTTTGTTACCTCTATATTACATTGAGTTTCAGATTGAATGTTTAATTATTATTTAATTATTTAATTATTATTTAATTATTATTTAATTTTTTATTAATTTAATTATTAATTAATTATTATTTTAATTTATTCTTTAGGTTGACCAATGAGCTTCCAGCTGGCCACTCATTCATATGCATGGACAACAAGCAACTACCAATCATATTGCAGCAAATATTCACCTCGGCCATGCTCAGACCGTAACGACGTTTCTGATTGGTGCACGCTTGCTTCTGACATTGACGATCTTTCCACCCTCTTATGATATCTTGTAAAAATAATAGTGATAATAATAATATACGGATTAATAATTTCATTTTTATTGATTTTATTATAATATTACGATTAATAATTTTATTTTTGTTTACAACAAAATGAGTAGCGAGAATAAAATTGCATGGTTATCGTCGCAGGTTGACTGGCTGACCATGTAACAGTAGACCGAGAAAGATGTTCACATGAATAATTTTAAGTTGCATCGGTAACATCATAGAAGGCTTCTCAAAAAAAAATTAAAGCAAATTTAGAAAAGATAGAAGATGTTTTGATCAAATTTCCGTGCTAAGGCCACTGATAGAGAAAAAGATAGAGTTCATCAAAGAAGTTTACATATGTTTCACACATTTTGACCATGCGCATGATTCCATCTGGAAAGAAGGAGCATGGGAAACCCTCAAGAAGAAATATGGGCTACATCCAAAGGTAGACATGGTTGTATTCAATTGTCAATCTTATTCAACATCATTCTGGACTACATGCTGAAAAGACTGGAAAATTTCGAGAATCTTGGAAAAAGCATAACCCCGATAGATATCCAGGATGCAGAATACTCAGATGACACATACCTAATGGCTGAATGTCTTCTGAAGGTAATGAAGCTAACTGACGTTTTACAACAAGAAAATAAAAAACTAGGTCTGAATATAAACATCAAGAAGCAAAGATAATGCCAATCACATATGCAAACGGACCATGGCCACAAGTGAAAGTCAATGGAGATGTAGAGACAGTATCAGAATTCATCTATCTAGGAAGTCATGTTGACAAAACAGGTAGAATAGAGGAGAAATTGGATATAAGGAAAGTACCGGTTGAAATATTTTTTGAATGTTCAAAAGTTTAAAAACATCCTACGTAATAAAAAGCCGACAGGAATTTTTCTGCAGGTTAAAAATGTTAACAAATTAGCAAACAACAAAAAATAATTAAACATTTAAGGATTAAACGCACGTGGTTAAAAAATTAAAAAAACCTGTCAGTCGGTGTTCACATTTTTTCATTTCACAAAACACGTTTTATTGAAAAGTGATAAAAATGAAATTTTAAGATTAGTTAACGCGTCCGAAACTTACGTAAACTTGAAGCTCGCTGAAGGACGGAAAATTGTCCGGTTCACTTATCTCGACTCTGTCGTAATGAGTTTTGTAGGAGGGAAAGGCACGGGTCTCCTCCTCCGGCCGAAAGTTTTTCTCCTAAAACTTTTTCATTTTTGACCAGAAAAGTAGTTTTGTTTTCATCAGAGAATGAATGGTTGAAGTTAATATTAATCAGGAAATAATCCGTGGAGTGGAAACATGAAAGTGGTTGCACTACAAAATTGTGTTAGCGAAATTATAAAACAAAGTATAGGTAATAACATTCATAACAGAGAGTGGAAAATTACATGAGAGCCATGATAATTTTGTACATGATAGAGTGCAACGGATTCAACTTTATATTTGTCGTTAAGATCTACGGGCACCCAAACAGTCCCTGACGATTGCAGCTGAAGGTAGAACCTGCTCACCTCATGACCATCAACTAGATGCCTGCTCTGGCTCCCTAACACTTTGATGGAAGTATGCACCCGCTTGTGCAGAGCCAAGTTTGTACGTCGGACCAAATCTTGGTTACCAGTGCATATGATAAGCGGGGATCTTTTTTTCGTTCGAACCCAGTCACTGCAACAGCAGAACTATGCACCTTTAACCATTACGCTATCACGCCAATAATATTGCAAATCAGTTTCGCAGCCATTACTTACGGGTAAATTGATAATTCTCTTCAGTTCCGTATTGCCGACTTATATTTACCGCGACATTATGGTGCGTGGGCGGATTTTCACCGCGAAAAAATAACTTTGATAGCAAAATGATGGATGATATTTCTCGAAACAACATGATGACATAAGTCGTGCATCAGCAGCCTGCAATTGCCTACCATGAAGTATATCGTGACGGTGTTTTGCAATTTTAGAAAATCGAGATTCCCTGCCATCACTCACGCCGCTTCCAACTTTATAAGCCAGCCATTCAACGTGAACGCTGTGTACCCTGCATCAGTGATGAAATTTTTTTTATCACAAATAAGTGAGTAAATTAATGCAAAAAGTGAGAAATATAAAATGAAGTAATGTGTGATGTGACAAATTTGTGATTTGCCTGTCTCAAGTGGTTGGTGACTCAACTGAAAGTGACCCATGATTAAGATGGACAATTTTTCAAATTGAAGCGCAAAGAAGATTCAGAAAAAGAGGAGTCTTCACGAAGAAATTTTTAGGACTCTATACATTTTTACATTATTTATTCAGATCTTGCGAAAAAAAAAATATTTTTTTTTTAATTTTGAAAGATTAAATTTTTATTTAGGATGAAAAATGTTGAAAATCACGCATATTTAGAAGTAAATAAACATTGCGTTTTTATGGAGTATGCGTATAGTTTGTTCGGGTCATTTTTCTGCAATTAAATTTATAAACTTTCGCATTTAAACGTCATTTTTAAGCGAAAATTCCATGTTATCTTAGTGAAATTAAATAAATTTCAGAAATACTCCAACTGTTGAAAATGTTATAAACTCATGATTAAAAATTTTATAAGCTCTTACATTGTTTTTGGCAATTTCGTTGATAACTTTTGTTATTAACATCGAGAAAGTACTTCTAAAAAATTGCTGATTTTAATAATTTATTTGATAAAAGTCGATTCACAATTTATTCAGTCATTTAATTCCAAATTTTGAGAAAAAGATGGAATAGACAAATTCCTGATTTTAATCATTTTAGATGATTACCGCTTTATTCATGGCTTTGCATTCATTTGTTCTATCTCTTTTTAAAGGAAAAATAATCTGTTAATATAGAAAAAGAGATTATTAAAGTTAAATAAAACTGTGAAACCCAACACCTATTCAGTTAATTGCACGGCTCTATGATGAAAAATAAAATCCTTAAATAATTTATATAACAGTTAGTGAAAGATATAGTTCATTTGGTAGAGCGTAATCAAATTTACATCAGATGAACCCTTAACGGTCAGGCTAGCAAGGTAGAGAATGGCACGCTCATCAAACAGGCATTACATACGATGGGCCAGAGGATCTTTATGCTTTCGAATTCGGTCATTTCAACGTAAAGCCAGTTAACTTCAAACAACTCTTTACTCGAAATTTGAAATTGTTGCAATATTTAAAATATTTACCAACCTAGTCTGTTACATACCAGATAATCCTTCCCATCAATTATTGTAGGCACCGATTTCCCAAGACATTTTCTTCCCCAATTCGGATAGCCCGGAACATCAAAATGATAAGTGATTTCAGAAATTTTTAACTAACCATACTAAAAATTGTTAATTTTTTAACTAATTTAAATTTTACTGTGAAACTTGTCTACTATTATATAAATAATTAATATTTGTGATGAGATAATTAGGAGCTTCCTATAATGTATCTCCACTTTTTTACTGCCCGGGGCCTCTACAGCACTATTAATTCTGCCCTGATTTATCATTTGATACTTTCAAATTCAATAATAATTTTGATATTTTATTTTTGTTAACGGCATTTTCAAATAATTTAAATTGCCAAATCAATTCTGAATAGTAAATAACCCATGTTATATCTTTGTCGTTAGAATTCCTTATAATCCCTTTAAAACTGTGGTCACCGGCACCCATTAGATTGGTGTAGACGCACTGTAAAGAAATGCAGATCATTAAAAAAATAATGACAAAAATTTTCAATTTGAATCATAAGACGATAGTCCGATATTAAAGATGCCTGGCACTGCTGCCGCAATTACGGGGTTCGAATGCATAGAGAATCCAGTCTATAAGATGCAATATCTATATCAATTGTTGCCGGTTTGTTGATTTTTTTTAGAAATAAATGATCAGCATCTACCAAGACATCTCCTGCAGTTTTCAGCTCCGTGCTGTAAGTGACATTTTCGTTCAGACTAAACTGCTTTCCACTGTCGCTATAAGTTATAGCTTTGTTTATAACTTTTGGGCAAAGATCTGAATTAAAGAAAATGTTACAAATAGATTTAATTGAATTATTTTATCAACAATTTTTTAAGTTTATCCACAAGAAATAAAACAAAGATAACAAACCGTTAATCGAAGAATTGCAAGATTGAATCCAGATGGTAACCAACAAAATTAACACACTGTAACAGAACTTCATCGCATCTGCCGATGTCGCGTGCCAAAATTCAAAATTTGAAATTAAGGAATTCTACAAAAATAATTCACAGACGACAGAGAATTAATTTTGAATAGCATGCAACTTATCTGCACATATTTATGCAGTTTTTAACGGCATGGGGTTGGATATATTTCAGTTTATAATTGTTTACACTTAATTTCAAAGATTTGTGAAAAGCATATCTAGACGGAGATCATCCGGATCATGAAAAACTCAAACGTTTGATAGATCTGATAGATTATCTGGATTGTGAAAAATATTTAAAAAAAATTATTTTTATATAATTTTAATTTTCATGTTTAATTGATTTTTTACATTTTACGTGCATTCTTGACAGATTGTAAAAAAATAGAAATATTTCTTCGGGTTGATATACTCTTATCATCATATCAATTGTTGAGATTTTCATCGTCCTTTTCATCGTCATCATTCATATATCCTTGACAATGGGAGGCTGGGCTGGGCAATGGTTCAGTGTCTGGCCCTGCGTTTGTCGTTAATATGATAGATATAAGTGTAAGCTGAAATGTTAGTAATTCTAATTTTAAGTATAGAAGAGTAATAATGATGAATGTATACATTGGTACAGTTGAGAAGAGATGATGATTTTCTCGCTAATGACGTGCGGGTGATGGGCAGTGCCAGACTCCCCAACCATCGGGCATATCATCATTATTTTTATCTTTCTACTCATCATACTCACCATCATCATCCTCTTCACGATTATCATCAGTGAAAGAGAAAAGCGTACGTTCAGATGATCGTGCAACGGAATCGATTCTTATTTTGCTAGCAGAAATGATGATTCGAACAGAGTTTGTATGGGTGAGCTCAATTTTTTGTGATTCAGAGATTTATTTCAGATTTTGCTCAAATTTTCACAATACTGAGTAAGTGCAAACACTAAAAAGTATTATTGAAAGTTAACAGAGGGGTAAGCCTAAAAGGTGTTTTGGGGCTGAAGTTGGAATAATATTACGCCCTAACAATTTCTAAAAAAAATCCAAGCCCCTTCACCTCTCCCAAATAAATTTCTGGCTCCGACTCTAAATTAGTAGCAAAGAAATGATGAACATAGGCAAACACTTGTAAAGTATCACCATTGGTGAAAATCGAATTATCTCATCATCTGTTTTCATCTATTTCATCACAACTATCCTCTGTCAATATGAGTATGTGTGTATGTATGCGTGCGTGTATGTGTGTGTACTTACCTGTTAATTTTCCATTACCAACACCTTTCAATATTAAAATATGAAATCGAAATTAGTTAGTTTCTACTGTAAAAGAAAATTTTGCATTTGTTTTCAAGCTGTAGCATAACAAAATTAAAAGGCGCTGTCAAAATCTAGAAAGATCAACAACTCGGAAAATACAAATTCATTTGATACTGTCGACAAAGTTGGATGGATTGAGTGGGAGAGTGAACACGTTCCTGTCTCTATTGGTTTTAAAATTTTATAAAAAATTGTTGATATATAAAATTTAACTATAAATATGTTTAATTATTTAATTTTATGTTCAATTTTATGTTTAATCATATTTTAAAGGTACCTACGTTACATTACACTATTATTATCAACATTCAATATATAATTTAATTTTATCTTAATATTATTTTATATCTTCCTAACTTATCTCATTTCAAAGATTTTAATATTATTCACAATAATATTCAGCTCCTATGATGGCTAAATAGTCGACCGAAACAGCGCTGTTTGGAATAAATACGAATTCAAAAAACTACGTGGTGTTAAAGTTCTTATCAAAAAACTTTTGAACGCCGAGTGGGCATACAAATTTAATGAAATATGCATCAACAAAGGCCTGAAGCGATTTTTTGTCAACCATTAGACGCCACGAACGCATATGATCAGAGGCGTCATTTGGGGGGAGGCAGGGAGGGCAATTGCCCCCCCCCAAGAAAAATTATAAAATATTAAAATTATAAAAGTGTTAATTTTAAACTCTTTGTAAAAAGGATACATATAGGATATATAATTTAGTAATTTTAAAACTTTAAAAATTTTGAAATTTTAAAAACTTTAAAAATGTAAAATTTATTATAATGTTGCACTGACGAGACTAGGTAGTCGAAATAGTACTATATGCATATACATGTAGATAATGACATCTTCTACCAAGTTAAGCTTGGTAGATCGGAGAATTATTCGAAGAATCGAGAAACTATCATATAGATTGAGTACTGTAAGAAACGCCGTGATCTTTATTAATAATATATATATATATATATATGTTACATGCTAAGTCATAGACCACATAAGTTCGCCCCCCCCCCATCCAAAATCTGAAATGACGCCCCTGCATATGATGCAGTAGCTTTTGTTGGACTTCCCACAAGAACATGCAACTTACCTAAGCTGTGTGCGCAGAATGTTTTGGCAAAGAAAGCTTAATAAAGTGACGAACGATTTGGGAGCAGCTTCGTCAAATCTGCATAAAGATGACATTTTTCGGCATATTTAATCTATATGAAACAAAAATTGAACTGTGATTTTTAAAAACTATATTTCAATATTTACCAATACCAACATTAACATCATAATTATTGCTAAATTGGATTATAATACGAATGGTTAGTCATAAAAATCGTTAATGTTGCAAAAAAATTTTATATTGTTATTTATCAAATTATATAATATAACTTATATTAAACTTTCGCAAAAAGATTTTCATTATTATTTGTTATGCAGCTCTACCAGGAATTGTTCGTCGACATCAAGCCCGACCTACATCCAGGTGAGGCGTGACTAAGTGATCAACATTGGGCATAACATGGTAGTGTGTGTAACGATGAAGAAGATGATGATGATGAAAGGAGGTGTGTGGTGCTTTAGATGACCCTCATGTTATCCCAGATGGAAGGTGCCAATGATGCGAACACTCGAACGACTAGGCACGCGCCACAACTGACAAGTGACAGTCCAACCTGATGGAATCGCTCAAGAGATCTGAGTGGAGTTAGAAATGTGATTGTGAAAGTTGCAATGCTTTCTATGTAATGAACGACGATGTTGATGATTAAAAAAATCAAACTTATGATGATACATTTCAACAGCCTTATATAAATTTCAATTTACAGTCGGAATGAGAAACAAAGAGCAGACCTGACTGATCTGACCCAACAACTGATGCAAGTCAAGCGACATAATAATGATTTATAAGACGTATTGTTATGGGTGATGATTACGCTGGTGGTGATGACAATGATGATAAAAATAACCTCTACCTGGTGGTAATGATAATCGGAATGATGACAGTGATGGCAGACGATGAAGATAATGAAATTTTATGAAAAAGACGTCCCAAGTTCGACATTTAACTGGTTGTTATTCATAAACCTAGCCAGTCCAACATCAATTATCTCAATTCACTCCCCTCTCCCCTCATTATTCACTCATACCTTCCACTTTTCTGACACTCATTCAGCATCTTATTTGGATCATCAACGTTGTGAGCATTTAGTCGGCCTTTAGTTCCCGATGTCCCCCTTGGCTCACCCTTCATCTCTCTTTCTCTCTCATCGTCAACTGCTTGCTCATTCGTTTCAATAAATCATTCAACCCAGTAGGAAAAACTAATGATCGTAAGGTTTTGGTTGAAAATAATGACGACCTCAATAATAATAATAATGTCATTTACTCGGCGCACTATGTATAAAGTCAGAGGCATTTGGTTGTTGTTGGCGAGAGTTCTAGTCTCCTGTTGTCCTTAAAATATGCCTCGGATGCTTCGTTTAACGTTCGCTAAGTAGCTGTTGGTGACTGTGCGAAGGCAGAAATGACACAAATTACAGAACAAGTTATGTAAGTCCTTCGTGTTAACGAACTGAAACCTGGATGACTCGCCAGATGCCTTTGCAACTTTTCGAAGGCTTCTCCATAAATATGCTCCTCGAAATTTGAAAATATCAAATCATCAAAAAAATGTTGACGTAATGTGAGTTGCATCGTTAGAAAGCGTTTCAGAAAATTAACTGTTCATCAAAGAGCAAAAAATATTACGCGAACTGTAAAGAGTTGAATGAAGTATCACGTTTGAAAATTCAGAGACAGCTGACGCCAAAAACAAGAGGGAAGCCACACACGTTCTTACGTTATGATCATTGCGATGCTGATGACGACAATAACAACAATAATGCTGGATGATCGTAATAATAATTACTATTCGTGAGTATGATATAAAAAACTGCACATAACTAAAATAATATAATTACTACTCATAATTTATAATAATAATTACTACTGAAGATTAAAAAAAATTAATTCATCGAATAAATGAATTAAATAAAAATTAAATAAAATTCATAAAAATCAATCAAAGTAAATACGGATAACAATAACAATGGAATATAAACGATAGTAATAAAGAAATATAGATGATGTATTATTATCAAGAAATATGAACAATAATAAAAAAATATAAATAATAATAAATATAAATGGTGAAACTTGAATATGACGATGCTAATGATGACGATACCTATTTCTGGGTGAAGCTTGTTCACCTCACTGACTATCTGGTCCTTCACCACATTTGCTAGATACTACAATGATATCATAATTAAAATAATAATGATAAATATTATTATTATTATCATAATAATAATTATAATTGATTAAAAGCTAGACGCTAGTTCCTGCTTTTTAAAAAATTATCAAGTTTTTAATTTTTTTCTTAAGGATTTAATCCTGAAAATGTAGTCAAAACTTTGGCGAACTTTGCAGATCTTAATTTAATTAAAAAAAGAAAATTAAAAATTTTTCAATCTCGAAGCATTTTTTAAAACTAGATCAGTCCGAATCGGTATTGGATATTTTTATTTAAAAATTCAATCGTTTTTATGTAAATCGTCATCAGTCGAAATAAATTGTTGTTATTAATAAGTAGAAGAATTAATTCAAAGTTGATAATTTATAAATTTGGTTTGACTTTGGGTGGTTTGTTAATGATTTGGGGACGTTGAACGATTCAAAGATTTAAAATTTGTTTAGGACCTTAATTTTTATTGGAAGTTCAAAACTTCCAATAAAAATTAACGAGTCTATCACAGACTTAGGAAAAATATATGATTTCAAAATGAATAACCAGGTCACCAAAGTAAATGAAAAACCTGAACCGTTATTAAACATTACATCCGGCTTAAACATTAAAGTTCAGATGAAATTAAAAATACTCCAACTACATTCTTCAACAAATGCAATTTCAGTTAAAGTCGTATGATTTTTGTTCCACTTCTATTGACTAAAATCTTGATGCCAAAGGTACGGAACATGTAAGAGTTTGTCTGAATCTACCAATAAGTGCGTGTGTTAAAGAGACGATGGCCCTCCCTAAGTCTCAAGGCGGTTTAGATATTCCAACTTTCAAAATGATAGCAGAACAATTTAGGATGTTGAAACACTTTTCTATGAGAAATAGAAGTCACGAGTTCATTAAAGATGTATGGAGGAGATGCTAAATAAACATTTCATAAGTCATCAGAATGACGTAAATTAAATCATTAACAATATTCTCCTTTCTTATTATTATTATTGATTTAATTTTCTTTTCATTTTCTGTCAATAACGTAAATTTTTTTTAAATAAAAGAAGTTTCCATTTCATGGTCAACATCTTCTTCATCAACAACATCATCATCATCTTCTTCTTCATCAACGTCATCATCTTATTCTTCTTCTTCATCAAAATCATCAACATCGTCATCATCAACATCATCATCATCTTCTTCTTCATCATCATCGCCATCATCAACAACATCCACATCATCATCATCATCATCGGTTACCATGACAATGGCTGCATCATCCCGAGTGACCGCCAGCCTCTCCGAGCAAAAAATTTCTGATTGGAGCATCCTTTGCTGACGTTGCAGCCATGCCGATCTGGATGTCATGTGACGTCATGTGATGTCATGTGATGTCATGTGATATCATGTGATGTGATGTCATGTCACGTGATGTCCTGTTACGTGATGTCATGTCACGTGATGTCATGTTACGTGATGCCATGTTATGTGATGTCATATGATGCATCTAGCAGGTGACCATGACGGTGACGGTGATGATGATGTCTTTATCATCAGTGTTAATGATGTCGATGATGATGATAATGGTGGTTGAAGATCTAGTATAATGATAATGATAGTGATGATGATAATGATGATGATAATGATGGTGGTGGTTGATGATCGACGATGATTACAGTTGATGAACCCGTCTGCATGATTCGCATCTCAAACAATCTCACAGAACAAAATGAAAACTAAACAGCCATGGTTAATAAATGGACGGCGAGGCTGTGTAACAACAGTACGTTCAGCCACAAGCAAAAGAAGTGAAAGAGACTGAAGCAGCTGCATAAGAACGCCAGTCGGAACTGCATCCAACGGATAACTAGTCCTCTTACGTCCCAGAAAAGCCGGCTTGACTTCACCCACAGTTACTTCAGAGAACACCGCACTAACATGAGCGTGTTAAGATACCTGCCTAATAGTCCCTAATCCCTTTATGAAAAACTCCATCAGCATATCTGCTGTCATAATCAAAGAGGTCAAAGTCATCTCACAATCATCGCCCACAACAATCAACCCGTAGATAGCCCGTTTTGAACATTTACTATATTCCAATTGTTCTCTCCGAGCCATCCAATCCAACTCAGAACAAGACCAGAACATCAACATCCCCCAAGATACTTTTGTTTCAATGCCTTTCCACTGTGACGGGTCTTGCGACAAAATCGATTTCACGATCATCACCGTCATCAACCACCGTCATCATCATCACGATCATCCACGTCATCAACCACCACCATCATCATCATGATCATCACCGTCATCAACCACCATCATCTTCGTTATCATCATCGTCATCCAGTGGCGGATCTAGACAACTTTGAAAATGTTAAAATTTTTACTGTGGGCCACAATTTTCACGGGGGGGCCATGATTTTTGGTGGGTTCCCTACCGACCATTTTTGCTCATCACGTTCAATTTTTGGTCAATTTTACGCCAAAAACGGTCTTTTTTCCGACTTTTATTGAAAAACTGCTCACAGCTTGGGGGGGCACTGGACCTCCGACCCCCCTAGGTCCGCCACTGTCGTCATCATCATCACAACGTACAGCACATACTTGGTTTCTGAAGATGAAGAAGATGATGATGATTCACTCATGAGGAATTCGTGAAAGTATTGGAATGCTTTGCTGGCCAGGTCGAAAAATAAACTGTTGGTGGTGGTGATGATGATGATGAAAATGATGATTAGACGATGATGATAGTGATGATTGTTAGGACAGTAATGGTAATGATGATGGTGATAGTTATGATAAATTTTGTTTTTATGATGATGATGATGATGATGATGATATCGCGAATGCTGATACTGATAAAAATAATGATGACTCTGTTAACGATGCTGCTGATGATGATGTGAATGATGATGAGTAGGATGATGATGATGAAGACTCTGTTAACCATGCTGATGATGATGGTGCTGTTAATGATGATGATGATGATGATAAAGATGATGAAAGAGAAAAAATTACAGACAAATGTCACAAAAAAAACAACTAAAAAGCACGACACTAAACAAGCGAACGAATAGAAACAACAAAATGAAGAAATGTGACGATGGTACAGACCTATGCCAGTAGGCTATGTAGACGGAGTCGTTGTTGAGGACCGCCCTCTTTTCCATGGCAGCCAATAGAAGACCGGTCTGGTTAATTAATATTCATAAAACGAAATTTTAAAATTTCGTCGTTAAAGGTTCGATAATAGAGGAAACCCCAACAACAAAATCATCAACAACCACAAAAGTATTTATTGTCATCATTGCTACAAACAACAACAGCAACAACTCAACAAACAACAACAACAATGACAACAACACCGCAACTACAACACAACAACAACCTAACGATAAAACAACAACACAGCAGCAACACAGCAGCAACAACTACAACGCAGCAACATCAACACAGCAACAACAATAATAACAAAAACGACAACACAACGACACAGCACAGACAACAACAACGCAACAACAATATCAAAACAACAACAACATTGTAATCTGGTCCAGCGAGGAGCTTCTTCTCAAAATTGAATATAGTCGCATAGCTCTAGAAATTATTTAAATTTAACATTTCATCACCATCACTGTGAACATCATAATCATTACCCGCCTCCTCATCATCGTCATCATCACCACCATCATCACCATTATCATCACCACCATCATCAAGTTTTGGATACAGCTCTTTCGAAGCTTGAAAGGCGGAACAGCCGAATATTTCAGAAGTACTTTTTCGAAACATCTCACTCCTTCACTACCTTCTCGTTCAAAAGCACCGCTTCAAATTCATTTAAAGTTGCATTGAAAATAATTTTTCACTTTATTCTTTCTTTAATTTACTGAAAAAATTTCCCATTCGTGTTTCAAGATGCCAATTTGTCAGCATGTGCTCGGGATTTCGCTGCTCAACCTTTAGCTTTACCCGCCAAATGATTCCACCGTTCGTTAACATTTTCTAACCTCTCTACCACACCGATATCGTCACCACCACCACCATCATCATTATCATCATCATCACCACCATCATCATTATGATCAACATCATCACCACAATCATCATTATCCTCATCAATGTCATCATCATTATAATTTTCAAAGTCATCATCAACACCACCTGCACGTTTCTGGGCACCATGCAATCAAATGATTTCTTCTCCCCCGTGCACAGACCAATAAGCTTCAAGCAATTTAAATCCTCCATTCTTATTGGCTGAGTGGACCACGGAGCAACACTTCAACGTAATTTCAAAATTACTGTTCATCAAAATTGAAAGCATTAAAATCGCAAAACCTTAAAAAATAAACAAATTCAAAATTCAAAGCCCATCTTCTCAATGAGTAAGCACATCTTCTCATTGAGACCTTCTCAACGAGTGAACACATCTTCTCAATTGGTAGGACGAGCTACAAAAAACCCTAAAGAAAATACTCTGAAAATATTGGAACAGTCAGATGGCACAAAACAAAGGAACGAAACAGTGGAAAGCCAAATGGTTAATTAAACCATGATGCAGACGAAAATGCAAATCTCTAGAGTAGCAGCTTCCAAAATGTTTGGTCGTAGAAGATGATGCGGAAATTTCGATTTTTGAAATCAATAAAGACCACTCCAACGAAATTAATAACAGTGTGACAGACGACGTCAGCTGCGCTTGGAAACCAAACAAACTTCGACGTTTGAGGAAAATTAAAAAATGAAATTGTGGATGAACTTCACCGATTGCTGCGACTATTGCTCTACTTTTTAAAGCTTCTTTGTCCACAAGTCGGCGTCCATCACTTCAGTTCAGGTCTGCAAATGTTAAAACGATCTATACAACAACGGTGACGAAATTGTTGCAACAAATTGTCGCCCGGTTTCTCTAACAAATATTATGCAAGGTGATGGAAAGTATTATCCGGGAAAAAATGAAAAATTATTTTTTGAAAAATTAAGTTTCAGTTAGGCAACAGCATGGTTTTAAAAGAAAATCTTGCACAACAAATTTGCTTGAAACACTCGATTTTTTACGCACTTTTTGAATAACCAGTTAGTGCAGTTCTGTTCAAATTTGCCAGACAATTTGATACAATTATACAAAAAAGATTAAATGGAATAAATAGACCAGTTTATATGTGGATGGAATAATTTCTTAACAACAGAAAACGGAGAACTGGAACCTTTTGCCAGGTGACCTCGCCGAAGAACAACAACCAACAGATTCAAAGTAGGCATATCTTGCCGGGTGAGCAGCAATCAATCAGTAAAACAGCTGTTATAACGGCTCTCTGGCTTGCCAGGCAACAATTATCTACTACAACTACTACTACTACTACTGCTACTATCAGTAGTAGTAGTAAGTAGTAGTAGTAGTGATTGTTGTTGTAGTAGTAGTAGTTGTAGAAGTAGTTGTAGTAGTAAATAAACGGCGTAAAAAAATGAATGAACCATTGCATTAAACTGAATAAAATAATGAATGAACCTCACCTGAAATAACCGGGTACAAACATCCACAACGCAGTAATCAACTTTTTGATAGCTTGTTCGTGATTGGCCAGTGACGTGTAAACAATGACCGGTCGTCCAATGAGGAGCGAGTATACAAGACGAACTGCACTAGTAGGATATAAGCGAAACACGTTGGAAATCCCGTAACCTATGAAATAGAAATGAGTAAAAGTGAACAGCGCTTTTGCTGCCATCATTAGTGTTTCCAAAAATCTACGCTAGATAATGAAAGCGGTAAAGCCCGTATACAATACACCATCTCGCGGCCAAGATGGTGCGTGCGTCCGTGAGTATATATATATATATATATATATATATATATATATATATATATATATATATATATATATATATATATATACACACACACACATATATTTCAAAAGATC